ATTGAACGTACCAATGATAGTTAAAGCTGCACAAATAAAGGTGCTTGTAATTTTAATCATCCTGTTTTTCCGTTTGACTTTTTTATATAAAAAAAGAATCTTGGTGCCACTCAAACTCAGCCACCACCATCTAATCAGTGTGCCGCACCGCCGCAAAACGGTAAGCTCTTAATTAACCAGAAAGTTTTCTGCCATTTCTTCTTCTTCTACTAACTGGGCAATGAGAGGTATTGAGTTTGAAGAAAATCTGACAAACATTCGTTAAGTTTTGCATTTACAGTTGCCTTGTGGAAACATTCTAAGTTGTGATACCCGATTTTGTTCCCCGGACCAAAAATCAAACTACCTGTAGTTGTATGGAGGAAAGGAGAGGGAGACCCAAGTAACTAAGGCGTAAGAAATTAGTTCATCTGATTAGTAGATTGGAAAAATTGCAGAATTATTTTAAGTTACAATTGTCGGTCTATTACCCGATTTAGCGCATGAATACGAAAATTTAAATTGTTCTCCATTTATTCAAGCAAGTCAAGCTCCACCAGTAAATGCCAAAAAGAGTAAGGTCAAATTCTTCGCCTCCACTCAATCCTGCTCACAACTCTTTAACCACCTCTAATAACTTGACGGTGCTAGTTAGCAGGCAGCCATAACCTATGGTGTGTCAACACTACGTAAGAAGGCACTGATAGTCGCTATACCTCCGTTTTGGGGTCAAAATCCACGCTAATATGACATTCATGTCTTTTAAGAGGCAAAGCCAGAGGAGTGCGTCACCAAGATCATTGTATCCAACTTCGAGGGTCCACTTACAGTGACATGTACAGGTAGGTCGTGTTTTAAGTTGAAGACGAAAAGTTGGAGAAAAGAGTATTCTCCGAGCGCATTTGTCAATTTTGCTGTTGGCTAATAGTCTTCGCGGGATGAAAGGATAAGTTTGGTGCATATAAGCGGGTTGGAGGATGCCGCCTGCATTCCTTTCCCACGAATCAAGTAATAGGTACCCAGGATCGTTCGCATAGCGTGATTCATGGGCTAGGGGCTATTTATTAGGGATAAAACTGATGATTTTCACACTAGGATGCAAATCTTATCGTACTGTAAGCTCTCTCCTCACTTACCTCATCACGTCGCAATTGCTTTAAGTTTTTGTTTTTTAAGTAAGAAAACAACTTCCATGCAATTAACACTGGAAAATGATGCGTTTCTGAATATGATACACAAGAGACTAGAAGATTTTGGAATTATTGTTACTGATTAAATGTACTACCTTAAACGAGAGACTATATATTTCAGACGATACTTTTAAGTAGTGATTTTTTTTTACACCGAAGGGTTTTTAATTAGGTTTTTATAAAAAGCTTCTGAATTTGCCCGTTACCCTAAATAAATAAGGCCCAAATTTTCTCGGAATATTCAACCTCCATTGTGTAATACATTTCACAAAATTGTAGATGTCACACCCAAGTGCCCGCCGAATCCAATTCCACCTCCAGTGTCCCAATTCGCCCCTTATCAAGCCCCTATGCCCTGTCCGGAACCATTACCCACGGTAAGACTAACTCCATGCATTAAAATATCGTCGCCTTTGATGGGATTTTCAACATGTTGGTTAGTGAGTCTGCTTGCTAATTGAAAACCTTCTGCACGCAGAGACAAAATAATTGACGATTTGGAAGCTAATTTACACCAAAAAGCAATTATTTTTTTCTCCTTGTAACGCTTGGTTGGTCTGACCTTAAAATTGGTAGCGGTTGGGGTGCGAAAATTCAAATGTGATTAAGGGATGCTTTAAGACATGAATTTAATTAAATATTGCATCTCAATTTGACTATGCCTTACTTTTAAACTCTGCAACCCTGCAGGCACTCCTCGGTAGCCACAGTGTAAAAGGAGAGACCTAATTAGACCTAGTAATTAAATCAAACCGATGACCTAAGCGGTTTTACACTCATTATTTGATGTGATTCGCACATATGTGAATTGCGTGTCCCTCTGTGTGAGCAAATTTGAATAGTTTACACAGTATCAAGGTCCTCAAGTTTTCTCTTTTTAAAAATGCATTCTACCGAGTGGTATATGCAATATATGGCCTAAGAGGTTACGGTACGCTCTCACCCAAATACACTTTTTGACTAGGCGTCAATAGTCAGTAAGATCTTTGGGCCTGAAAATAACTAACCCGGAAAGCGTAGCCCCAGTGGCAAGAAGGCTTAATCATCCTTCTTTATTATTTGTGGAACTAAACAAATTAGGGCATAAACGGCAACAGAATGAAGTTAAATAGGTAGCAGAATGCAGCCACAAGCAACCGCTCGGTCTCGTGTAGATTCGCCTTGAAAACTTTCTTTGTAAAAGTGCTTAAGTCTTCTGTTACCGAGAAATTTCTTTGCATAAAATATGGGTGACTTTGATCAAATTAATTAATATATCTATTTCACACATTAACACCCTCGTGACAAGACCGAGGACCATCTAAGTTAAATGGCATTATCCCCCACTCAGCGCCATTTCAGGTGATACTTAAACTTAACAATCGGAATTTTAGCTAAACTTCTCTTACTGGCAATGTCTAATTACCTATTTCCTCTTGGTGAAAATGAGAGAAGGTAATCACTTGATTCAACTCCCCTAGGTAAGGCCGTATTACAGATATCCAAGCGAGCCCCAAGATTCCTACAGGCCTCGACGCTCACAGTCCAAAAGAAAGAGTTCCAAAAAACGTAAGAAATAAATTCACCTCCCTTAAAAACTACGAATAGTCGCTTTTATAAAATTTGCAATTGTTGGCCTCTTTTAGGCTCCAAAACTCCGAAAAAGGCAAAACCTCATGAGAGGGGTGAGTAACGGCGTCAGTGTCTAATGCGTCGAAATTAGCTTTGACGTTTGCTCACCCAGGCACACACAAAGTAGTCACTCCAGCTCTTAATTAGATGTTGTCAACTTTCATAACTTAATGTGTTATTATGACTTATCTCAGCTATTAGATATTCAATTGTACCTCCTACTCACTCTTGCCAGATTGTCAAAATTAGGTCAGTTAACTCCAAAGCACTACGTGACATGATATTCTGAATTCTTAAAGGTTAAACAATGAGGGTAGTTCTCATGGACCAAGGAGGATTAATCAAGAAGTGCGAATACTTTTCCCCTTTACCATCCTAACAGTCGATTATAAATATAATAAATAAATTAGAGGAAAAGCACTTTAAATGCCTGTCTCTATGTGTACTTTGCGGTCTTATGATGTATGAAGGCAAATTTTTTCATGTGAATCCCTCACTTACCGGCCAAATCCGTCAGCTATGTGACTGTGAGAAGCGAAGTTGTTTAAGACCCGAGTTGTTTGATATTGCCTAATGAAAATACAATTTTGAATAGAATAGCTAAATACTGAACCTCCTTTTAAAGTCAACAATAAATCTATTTACACAGTTTTAAACAACTACATGGGACTCATCTAGTACGAGGTGTTGAGAAATTAGATTACTTTTTTTTCTTAGAATAGGCAAAAAGAGACCACTCCATTCTGCCACGCATCAAAGCACCAACCATGGGTGCGCTTCCGTGGAGGCTAGATTACTCCAGGCCCAAGGGTGGGGAGACGTAGTAGGTATTAACGAGGTTTAGGCTATTTCAAGACAGTGGTAAAATAAAACCGCAGCATCTCCCCCCGCTCTTCACTTTCTTCTATTTTCGAAAGCATATTTCTGCAGTAGATAATATATTTCGATGCTTGCCTTATAAGGGAAACTTTTTGTGGTTTTTTGGTAAAAATATTAAAGTAGAGATAATTATCCCGAGGATAATCGATGGCAAATTTTACGAAAGTTGTGAAAATAGGTGAAGTAAACATTTCGGTATCTACTACCCGTACCCTATAAAAGCCTGGAACGATCAAATTGGTTTGCATAGTAAAGGGCGCCTTTTAGGTGATTAGGGGTGTAAATGTGTACAAACAATCCAGGTTATACGGGGTCAGAGCTCGTTTCCTCCTCAGGGGGCAATGGCAACCGCCCAGTCACGGGGTTGACGCATACTGACCCCTTCTCGCCCTAAAGGTATACTCGAGTGAACACGTATAATACTTCACCTTAAAGCAACTCAGCTCAAATTCCACCACAAAATATAAATACTTTTGTATTTCATCAAGTTGACATAGCAGTTGGAGAATGCGCCAATAATCGTTAAGCTTAATGTGGGTGAGTTCTTCATAATTTGTAATCCAATTTCACCTTGAATACGCCCTAATAGCGCCCTCTTGTCACACTGACAACTTGTTTACCGCTATTTTATTGAGCACCATGGATCGCAGTTACCGCCAAAGCCAATCATCCCGCAGCAATGCTATTGCAAAAAGACTCGTAATAATCCGTTTTTTACGGTGGGATCTGTTACCACACCCAATGAACAGAATGGATCTTCGATCGGGAATCAAGGCGCAGTGAAACTTAAATTTTCTCGCTCCAAAAAGAGGCCATTTGTGTTTGCCTTTTGATGTAATAAGAATTGTGTTTAGAACTTCTTGCATCAAAAAACAGTGAAACTATACATCCTCACTGTTTCAGTCTATGCTAAGAAAATGGATCAGGTAGAGATCTGACGAGAACGTCAAAGCCTTCTTTTCCTCACTTTCAGCGAGATTGAGAAGTGCAAGCCCTAAATTAAAGTAGATTTCTACCATCGATGACATTTTAAGCACAATTCATAATTTCAATTATTCTAAAAAAGTACGACATTTAATGCACGTCCATACTTCTATACCTTGGCCAGAACATGCAGAGCCTCCATCGAAGGAAGGGAGAGGCAGGAAGAAGTCCAGGTCCCCGTCACCCTCACGCTCTGAATCGCCGCGCTTGAAGCCAACGAGAAGCACAGGACCGGCGCTACTGTCGACTTCGGCGGGCCCATTGTCAAGCGTTACACCAAATCACCTTCCGCCTCCGCCCACGGTGGAGCAGCTGCAGTCCGCAGTTCTGAGACCTGTGCAGCCTCGCCCAAAGCCGTACAGCATTGTGACAGCACAGACGCTGCCGCTACCCGGTAAATGCCAGTGACTCAATTTCTTTTAAATGGATGAGGGTGGTGACGAAAGCCTAGCTGGAAGAAGGGGCTAAATTTTGAGCTTCTGTCAACCGGTCCTCCTTACATCTACCCGCTAATTATCCCTAAATCCATTTTGCCAGTCTTTTTATCGAGAAGAGGCTTTCACCACACTTATATTTCCAGTATTCGAGTCAAAGGCAGCATTATATAAGTGATGAATAAGCAACAGGTAGCAGTCATGATGAACTCGTTGGAACGATAAATACGTGGAAAGAGTCGGTGAATTAAAAAAGCCTAAATTTTAAAGAAACAAGGCATCCAAAGTACTTAAGAATTTTAATTTTCTCTTTTATTTAATCTGAGGTAAAAGTGAGGTTCACCTCCACACGTAGGGCGCTTAAAAGTTTCCGAGAGTTATTACTGAAGCAGCCTATACCGAATTTGTGATCTACCAACAAACCAACCACTTAACTCAATTTTTGTGTGGAGGTGTTGCAAGACGCATTAGTTTAGATGCAGCAAACAAATTCGCGGGTCTTTAGGCATCTTCCAGCATATTTTTGGCTTCATAATCAAATATATCCTGTGGATAACTACTATCACGGTGACGTGCAGATACCCATGTATGGTTGAATCTCCCGATTTAGTTGTAGTTGATAACCTTTGCTCCTGAGCCCCATTTTAGCCACTGAAAATGCTTAGTGCAATTTGTCACACCTCTGCCGGTTGATATTAGCCACATTAATAAAGTCGGTACTTCTTAGGCACCAGATTCAGCCAATTCAAACCTAATTCCTTGCATTATTTGGCACCAAAACCTCGGAGCCTGTCCTCAATGGTTCCAAAGCTACAAAGGAAATTATACAGGTATTCGGTTTATAATGATTCCTTCTAAATATTTCGAAAGAACACCCAAATATAAGTGATGCCGAGTAATTTGCAAACTGCATGATCTCATGAGATGGCTCTACGAGCCTAATTTCACTCAGAAAAAATAAAGAAGCCTTTTCTTGCTCTGGGCAGGCAGTGGGCCAGGTAATATTCATTACGACCCGTTACCGAGCCTTGCAAATCCTATTACTAGGAGGTATAAACTGGACCGTGAGCTTTACCTCCTTTACAACTGACGATCTGTCATTAACAGGTTGCATTTTCTCACCACCCACTTTCTTCACCTAATTAGTTCATTCCTAAACGTATTTCTGATCTGTAAACATTTCCCGCTCCATTCTCATGTGGTATTACTCGTCCCAGCGCAACTCCATTCGTTAGAGGGCAATTAGGAGAGGGGGAGAGGAGGAAGAGAAGCTGGATTTTAAATCATCATGCGTTGTCAAGGCATTTCCATTTGCCCTTCGCTATACACCGCATTTAAAGTAGTCTTAATGGCCTTGCGCGTAAACACACTGCATGGCGTTGCAAACTTAAACGAGCTGCCCATTTAAATGTTTTTGCATTCTCTGGGTGTTTATTTGTAATTGATCCTCGATTGAAAATTACAAATGAGGGTGGACTGTAAAGGCACTACGTTTCCTTTTATTTGGTTTTTAAAAAAAATGTAAGCAAATAAAAGAAAAAGGGCAGTCTGTCTTCCTAATGTTTTTGGGCAAGCTGTTAAGCCGCGGGGTTGAGACAAGACAAGCCCGTGTAAAATACTAACAGGTGATATTTTTGTGCAACTACGGCCACACCATCAGACAGATCTTTGTGCTTAACCGTGCAAAGAATGAAATGCATTTTTAGCATCACTTGTGATGTTAACGCATCCGTAGCAGTAAATGCAAAACCAGTATCAATAGCTAACCATTAAAACCCTAAAGACTTCATTCTGATGACCCAGCAATAAAAGCATTGATAATAACTAGCTAATATTTAGTTAGGTCATTTGCTGTGAGTGAATAAGACCCGTGTTTGAAGTTTGACAAAAGTATTGCTCATTCACAGAGTATCACAAGAAGTCGTAAAATCAACAAAACTTACACAGCTACTTATTTAATTTCAGTAGAACCAGAAAAGACAGCAACGCGTGAGCGGAGTAAGAGCCCTGAGAGGGGGATGTATCCGTGCCATTGCGTGCCAATGATCTACTGCATGCCCAGCTGTCCCTACCCCTACCACCAAGTAAGCCATGGCTGCTGCGATCACTCTGACTTTTGGCCATTTTAATTTTCTGCCTCTCGACGCCTCCAGTTGCTGACTCCCCTCGCTCTTTTGCGTTATACCGGAATAAAATTCCTTTTTTATGGTCGTAACTGCTTTTTTAGTCATCGTATTCTCTGTATTATAGTGGGAAAGCTTTAGTACATTCAACAAGAGCAGAAATTATGTTAAGTAAAAAGATCTGAGGGTATACGTCATAACCGTATTAAACCTACCTAGTAAACCTAAAGTGATACTGTCAAAATCTAACAAAAGTAATGTTAAAAATGCACAGAGTTTTTGACTCTAATTCCTGGTGGTCAAATATCTGATTATATTTTGCGTAATGACAAAATTAGTGTCGGATGGGTTGTCAGGGACGCGTCGAAATATCAAGGGCTAATGATTGCATACCAATTCCTTTACTAACCGCTTATCCGGGCACGAATTATTGGCATTTAGTGGTAAATGCAATGAACAAAATCAAAAATTAAGTTTGAAAGTTCAAAACAACTTATTACTTGTTTTAGCCGAGATCGTCACGGGCTGACAGACGCATGCAAAGGCTGCTGGATATTTGCGAGGGGGTGAGTCTAGCTCCTTCCTTCTTAGTTAGAGAAAAGGCAACTACTTTTCTCTTTTACATCGTTTCTTTCCTCCCCGTGCTCTGTTCTTGTGTTTGAGAAGAGTCCCATCAAAGTTCAAGTTATAAAGAAGCCGGTAAGTTTCAATCCTCGTCTAGCCTTCACCATCCACCCGCCTCCTCCCTCCCCCTCCACTCCGCCCTCTTAATCGCCTTGTAGACGTTAGCACCGATCAAAATGGCCTCCACTTGCCATTACTAACTCGCAGGTGATACGAAAAGTCATATTTCTGGTCAAAATCGCGGTGTTTATAGAAGGCGGTGGTAGTAGATGCGGTGGTTTGGGTCTTCAATTCAGCCCTACAATGTCTTTTCGTGACGGGAATGAAATAAAAACAAACTTACTCTCTCATTTCTAACCACATAAAAGAAATTAATGATTTGGTCGTTTTAAATATGGTGTATCCAGAAGGTCATCACCTTTGTTAATCCTTTTTGACAGGTATTTTGCCTTTTCAGGAACGATCATATTCACTGCCCAAGCCAAGAGGACAGAGGGACGGGAGACCGCGTCAACACGTGAGTGTGTGTTTCAGTTTAAACCTTCGCCTGAACTATTAAGGCACAAGCTTTTGTAGAAATCCTACTCGCCCACTGTTATCTTACTTCAGAGGTTCACCTTACCTTTTCATATTTTCTATCCTACCTCGAGAAATGGCATAGTCTAAAAACCTTAAATTACAATTAACCATTTCAATTTTAGTCTTTACCAATGCCCACGTATTTCTGATTAATTTTTGGCAATTTTCTGTTCACATTTTTTGTAATCATCAATACTTTGTTTCTGGATTTTAACTTTTGGTTGTTAAAGTGTCGTCAACTTGTAAAAACTTGTTTTGTTTTGTTTCAAAGTAGGAAAGGAGGGCGCAGGGTTAGGTTTTGCGTGATTTAAGCAAAACCTTGATGTTAGGGTGAATCACACGTTGCTACATGGAAGGATGCTAAAACTACCTTAAATTAAATGACATCTCTCATTCCTGATGCTTTTCGCACTACCTCAATTTCTCATCATAGCTAGGCATGGGTTCCCTCGTTGTGGATTCAAATTTTGTCATCCTTCTTATAGAAAAAAAACTTACTTCAGTGGTGACAATGTGGTAGTCATAAACGTCATAACTTGTAGTCTGGATTTTGTTTCATAAAATGACCTAAAACTTATCACGTTTTAAACATTTGTGGCAAAGATCCAATTCACTCCTTCCAAATTTGACCATAAATGACTAATGAATCGGGTTTTGTCACATTTGCAGTGTAAGCCTTGCGATTCTGCCTACTAGAATACAAATCAGTAATATGCATGAATCTTTGTTAAACTACAAAACGGAATTTTGTTTACTCACTAACAAAGAAATCCTCCTTTTCCGTTTGTTACAAACACCGCCAAACTTGACAGTTTGACTGGTCTTAAAAGTAGTCCTGAAAGAACTGTTCTTCTCTTCCCACATAACTGTTCCCATGATGATAAGGGTGATTCCGTACTATTGAGATGCGCTGACGTATTTAGTGACGTTAACCATCAATGCAAAGTCACTTTTGATCAGCTAAACGGAATGTTACTTGCTGTGGTTCATTAAGAAGTTGATATCCCCTCCCCCTAGTCCTTTACTTGTCTTTACATTAAACTTTATTGTGAAGACCCATTGTCGGAGTAAACTGAAACACTAGCTTCGCTTTTAATGTTAATTTGAGAAGAGATCACAAATTGATGAAAAAGCCAACTAAATAAAATATTGACTTAGTACAGATTACTGCCAGGAAGTGTTTAAACTAGAGAAAGAATGTACAGTACATTGGAGGCGTGCACTTCGATGTCAAACCATGAAACAGCAAATTGAAGAAATTAAAATACGTTTACTTGGTAAGTTAATTGAAAGGATGCTGAATGCGTGAGGTACGTAGTAGTCCACAGAGGGGATTTCGGAGGATGAATGGACGTCTTTCTGTAATGCTTTCAGCCATCCGATCAGACAAGGCGTTCAGTTCTTCCAAACCTTACAATTGACCATCCACGCGAAACAACGCCGTTGAAAACTACTATCAAAACCTCTCCACCGCCTCAGCAGCCCTTGCACTCACAAGGCCTTTTCGGGATGAGAAAAGGTGAGTTCTAGTGCTGCCACGTAAACCGTCCACACGAAGGAAATATTGAGGAATAAGGGGGCCAATGCGAAAGCCAGAGCAGGCTCAGAGCAGTGGCGTAACAGTGCCGGCTATAAAATGCTTTATTTACTACCTCTCTTACAAGAAGTGGCCAATTAAGTAGTATTTTTGCGCTGTAGTTTTGTAAATCTGGTGATAAGTAAAAAGCCGCTTAAGCGAATGATGAGGAAACCTCGAAGGGTCAACTGAAACTTGAAGGATTTTTAATGCTCATTTGAAAGGTGCATTAATGCTTGATTGAATGAAGTCGGATAGTTTTCCAAGTCATGGTGCTGCTTGTGGATCATGAAGCAGCGCCGTTTGTACAACTGGGGTATGGTTGATTAGATGCCAGTTAGTTAATCGTTTGAATTTCTTCAAGCAAATCACCGGACCAGGTGTTGGACTGCTAGTTTTGCTTTAAGCGGTTCGCACTTGAAAAGCACCACTGTGCCTCACACTCCAATTCAGTGTTGTAAAATGACACAAATTGCTGATAATATAAAGACTAGCACTGATATCCCCTTTAAGAGGTTTTCATAAAACCCGTTTTTGTTCGATACGTTTTTTCCGAAAGTCTTTTAAGAATAATAGCAAAAGCAGGAATGTATGGCCACTTTAAGTATCTGACACAGATAAAATGCTCCTATATGGCATTTGTTATTTGTATAGTCTTTTTAATTATGCTGCATCCCATTGTGAGTTCCTTGCCTGTTTTTTTGAAAAGTCGGTGTAAAATAAAAGGGGTGGACTTGAGGGGAACAATCTGTGCACAGTTCCAATTCACAATTTAGCCCCAGTCAACGAAGCATGCTAGTGTGATTTGAGTAAATTATGCATAAAATGGTGCTACTTCGAGCTTCAATAAGAGCACTTTATTCTGAACTTTAACTGGCCATGGAGACCCATCGGGTGCTCGAAGGCTGCACGCAAATGCAAGTGGTGTTTGCATTTATCGCTTAAAAAGAGTAGCATTCCAAATTTGAAGCTCATTTTTGTTATTTCCCTGGAATTAAGATGTCTTGGGATTTATTTATAGCACTTTGTTTTAAATTCCTAGAATAAATGTTGTGCAACGCGAATTATTGGGTAATTTATGTGGAATCGCAACACCACTTATTGAAAGCTGGAGCAACTGCTACATAAACCCCCCAAAGTTATTTTTGAAAATGAAGGACCTATTTTACAGGCTGAACGATAAAATGTTTTACAATATCATTAAGCCTGTATTTCTTCCGCGGTTGATATTGTATCATAGTGCATGGGTACTGCACAACTCACCGATTTCCCCTATATTAAGGTCCTCAACTATGTTCTCCTTGCTCCGGTTGTAAGCAGCAGAGTTTTCTCTTGATTTTGCTATTATGTTTAGTGCGTCTGTTTGGCTTCCTCTTATTTCCAAATGGAGCAAGCATGTTGTTTTTGTTTCGTCTTTTTGTTGGTTCTGTGCTTGCTAAATTCATTTTTGTGTGCAGCGAAGCGCCTAGTGTGTTTTGTTTCAGGGACTCCGGTGTCTAGGCATTCGCACGATGAAGAGCTCTCCACTTGGGCTCGTCGAAACGGTTAGTGGTTGTGTGGCTTGCTGCCCGTATTTACTAGTTGAAGGCCAGATTAGCGGTATTTACACTTATAATAGGCATTTGAGCAGACTTTTTCAAAAGTCCCTTTCTCCTGAGAACGACACAAATTCATGGGGTGATTGTCGCATGTTTTATAGACTTGAATCAGTTTTTTTGCATTTTTTCTTCTCAAAAATTGTGTAGCAGTTGCCGTAACCAAGTCTCAAGTGATAGAGTTTAATTGCTTGTTATTGTAGCGAATATCTCTGCTTCGGTAGCTAAACGCGAAATTAGAGACACCACCCCCTTTTTACAAAAAAACACGAGACTGGCACTTCTCATCAGGTTATTTTTTTGACAGCTAATCATAAGTGTAAGCCATCGTTAACATGTTTTTTACAAGAATCGCCGAAACTCTGCTTCTCCAAACTCCCAACTTGCATTCCCCACGTATTTTTTCCCTTATAATCCAAAGGTAATGAAGTAGGTCTGAAGGTGGCATTTAATGCTTTGCTAGCCTAAAAGGGCATCAGGATCGCAGCGGCCGGCTTTTAAACTGTGATTTTAATCGTTTGATTTTAGTTCAAGTAAGAATTTTATCCCAAATAGGTACTATTTCTGCTTGTTTTAGTTATGTAAAACAAATTTTGATGTATAATCAGTGCCTACTTTGCCAAAATTTAGTGTCAGCTTAAACAAAGGTTCGTGACAGCCGGAATCAGGTCCTAGAGACATGTGCGCCTGTTTTTCGGGAAAAGAAGTTTCCTCGCCTTTCCGAAATGGTTAATTCTACCCACACGCTACTACGATTTGGTAGTCAGCGAAGTAGATGGTACAAAAGCCGTCTGAATGTTAAGATCCACGCTTAAATAACGGTAGAATTGGTAGGTGACGTGCCTGATTCGATTGTGGATTGTTCAGTGGTTATATCGGAAAAAAACGGAAATTTGTTAGAGCAATAGCTAAGGGATTAGGGCACATGCTTCCAAAGACAATGGAATTGATCTACTAGGCATATCCGGTTTCAAAAAAAAAATAAAGCCTTGGATTCTAAATGCGCTTCAAAAGATAAAGGCCAAGGGTTTTTCTAGGCCTTGTTGTTTAATTTCAAGTTATCTAAAGTAGTTGGTAGTTGCCAACAGGCAAGCTTGCACCTCTTATTCTCTCATAGTTCAGGACTATGTACGTTGTTTTTAGGGAAGAACTCTCATAAGGCTCCATTTCATAATTAAAAACGCCGACTAGTGTAATGCAGTAATTACCGAAGCATTGAGTTTTAAGCACAAAATGATGTTATCAAAGTTGTTCACCATTTGAAAGTTGGTATCCATACATCGGAACTAGAAGGCTTGAATTTCCTCATTAGAATGGGTGTGTTGGAATTTCCAGTTGCCGACGGCGAGGGTGGAGGGGATTTCAAAGGAGGCAGGCCACCAAGCCGACGTGGACCTCCACTGTTTCACCCACCACTCCTAAGAGGAAGCTCAACGCTATCAAATCCGAATCGTGGTAACCCGGCGCCCAAGTTAGGGCCCAAACCCACTATTCAATGGCCACCACGTATTCGGCCGGGCGGGTCGGATAAGCCAACCAGTCCGCCAATAATCGAATTCGGTGGGGCCAAGCGGATCAGCGAATCGAGCGACGATCGCGGTGGTGGAGGAGCGTCACAAGTCGAGGGCTCCTACGAAGTGATTTGGGACTACTTTAGTGAAAACGGTGGAGAGACCGATGAGGAAGGGGAAGATCGAGAAGTAGAGGTAGGAGAGGAAGGGAAAAGTGTGCCACCACAGTTTGGGCAGCTTGCATCGTTATGGGTATCATCATAGATCCCACAATTTTGTAAATATTCTTATTCTCTTCACCTCCGGAGTATATTTATTTGAAACTGTTTCTCGTCTCACGACGGCTTAAAAGGCCAGGCAGCACAAGCCAGAAGAGAAGTTGCTTGGATAGTTATCAAGTCAAGAAAAGTTGTGGTATCAGTGTTTTTCGAATCCATATAGATCTAACAAGTTAGTGCAAAAAGATGGTGTTTTGGAAACAAGTGCTTTTATGTGTGCTAGTGATGGTTGAAGAAACGGTCGTTTTGTAAAGCTAACACTTCGACAATAGCAGTGTTTTTGACAATAAATGGTTAAAGTGGTTTAGGCCACCGGCAGAAAAAGCATTCATCGTTGAGGGAAGAAAGTTTTTACAGGCCTGGTGAAACCGTACTTTGGAATCTCACAATTTTTCCCGGTGAATGAAATAAGACCGGGTGAGTGTGTTAAGGCACTCTGAAGGTGTCTCCTGCTGCAAATCATTGTTATGACCTCCGTATCTGCTGTCTGGTCAGAAGTGCCTTTGAATGGATGGAAAATGGATATATTTAATATGAAACTATAAAAAATAAATCAAACTGGGTAATCTGCTGCTAGACAACTAATGCATGAGGTGTTTTGCATTTTCCTGGAGGAAAAACCGTGAATAGACACTATTATGATGGAGAAGTCAATTGCTTTTGATTACCCTTTCCGGAGAAAAGGGTAAATATGGTGAGTGGTTGATCTCTTCAAGTGAATTATGCAGCCCATTCTGTCTAACCGGTTGGTGTGACATGTCAATCTGAGGTGCAAGTGGCTGCGGGATTTGTGCGCAAAACCGAAAGCGGGCTTAACTGGGGTGACCGCAATTTTGGTCGACTACAGCCATGAACCCGAGAGACAAAGAATCTTGGGAACGCTCTAAGAACTCGTAAGAGCAGGAATGTGATTGCCTGATTTGTCAAGGACATTGCTCATGGCAGGCTTCGATTCATGAAAGGACCTTCCGAGAAAACTTGTATGCACCTGATAGAGAAGCGTGGATAAAACTGCCCTTTTCCCATACCTCCATACTTGATATCGTTTAGTTGGTGACTATCCAGAGATGAATCCATAATACTTTTCGCTCAGGAATTTCAACTGAAACAAGTTTATGAGTTCGCTTAGTTGTAACCTCATATGAAGTTGGTTCTACTGCGACGTTACGGTTGAAAAGTCTTATTTCTTCCGTTTCCTTGATCATCCAAGTATGAATTACTGTTTTGTATGCATTATTCAAAACTACCAAACAAATGTGAGTCTTGAGTTTAGGGTTATTTTTATTCCACATTAACAGCGAAAAAAAGCCTTCGAAACGAAAAGGATTTGGTAGATTATGAGAGGTGTCTTGTTGATGGTAAATTATGCGACAATTTCAGGAGGCACGCAGCAGTCAAATGGTTGGACCTTCCTCGGGATCCTACTACAATATCTCCTCAAAATCGCCACCTAAGGTGAGAAACATACTTAGCATTAACGTCAGAAGTGCGAACATCCAGTACTTTGCTATAAGACGGTGGCATTTTGCGCATTCCTTACTGGTACCATCGGCTTACTTCCCCCACACACTATGGTTGCCTAAAATCCTGATCTGCCGCATGCTTTACTTCTCTTGAACGCATACTAGTCCCTTAAAAAAAGACAGAAAAGCATCAGTTATGTTGACGTACCTGCTGATAAGCTGCGGCTGCTGAAGCGGAACTTTTCAAGCCTTATTTCCTGAGTTTGGAGCAGAATGCATGGGCATTCATAAGCACACATCACCAATTATTGAGGAGGACTTTGAAGTTGGTTGTTCAAACTTTGATACAGCTAAACGCCCTTTCCTTCAACAGGTGATCCTCAAGGTGAAACATGAGGAGCCCATGTGAAACGTCCGAGGGCAGCGTGACAGGAGACCACGCTTTTCGAACAAGTCAAGCGCCTAATTACTGGTCAAAATCTAGTGAATTTTCTGCCTAGACATATGCCTACCCGATGTATTTCGTTCTATACTTACAATGTCCCCTATTTCGAATACCAACACTTATAATCATATTGAGTGAGTTGGACGACTTTGTTCATTCGAGTGACAAGGTGACCGTACTGTCCTTGCATTGTCTAAAGTCGGTGGATTATGCGGGGATCGTGCCATAGCACTGGTACATCCAAGTGAGGAATTTACCTAAGGAGTTAAAAATGATTCCACTCCCAGTTTTGTTAGTGAAATTTGGTGCCCTTTAGCGCGTAAATAAGGTTGCTTTGGCTGATTTCATACTAGTGAGTATTGAGCTCCGAATGGTGGTGGGTAGAGCGACTTCTTTCATGCATTTTTGTAAAAGACTAAATGGTTTATGGCTTGAACTTACCACTGTTCGAGTGTACTTATGGATCAGGCTCCTTTTAATTGCTGTAACAGCCTTTTGGGTCTCGATTAAATTAAAAAGTTGAGAGTTAAGAAACCCGTCTTTTCTAAAACCCGAGTTGGGAATGGTGCCTTTATCAAACCAGACTATAAATTGGCTACCGAATGCATATTTGGACTGGTCGTGTAATTGCGTACTGCGAAAAATTTCGGACTTCGAGTTTGCCACGATTGTTGAGCTTTTCACACTTTAGTAGATGACACAGGATGGGAACATCCGATGAACGATAATTCTGAATGTTTGCAATTTGACTGCTGAGATTCATTTTTATGTGGCTGAAACGATTCATAGCTGAGGTTAATGGAGATTTCCTGATTATCCCAGTACAGCCCTCGTGATGGCCATTCACCTTAAAACAGATTTCAATTTCTTGACTATAAAACCCAATTCTTGAGTGGGGTACCGTAATAAGTACGACCTTGTGGCCTCTTAATCACCAGAGCGAAAATCTTGAATGTCTAGATCTGAACTAGAATATACTACTTTTAAGGTTGTCTGACACGCTTAAGAACTGCAAATGACTATTTACCAGTGGAAGCCAATGGTGAGAGAATTAGAAAGGATAATGTTCACCATACATCATCGATGATTGTATCAGTGCTGAAAAGTCCTCAATTGAGAGTAAGGCCGACGCATTAAATCGCCGTTTCCACGTGACAAATCATTTCAAACGAAATTCTATTTTGATATCGACCCTCTATTAGTCGCACATTATATAACTAATAGTAAGAACATCATCACAATTCTACATTTTGATAGAAATGGGAGGCAACAACGATGCCACTGTCCTAGTCAAAGTCGAATGCCGCTAGCGTAAACCTCATGTGCTACTACAGCACGCCGAGACTTTCCTGGAGACAAAAGAAGACACGATGCACGAGCAGACAATGTATTTTTGACGTATAGTGGGATCTGGAGTCCAGTGGCACAGCCTGGAGGTCAGGTTGCTCATCAAAGGAAAAATATCGGAGCCCTAAATGGCCCATTACCAAAATTGGAAGTTATGCAAGCAGTTAAAGTATTGCACTACTAACTACCACTAGTATTTGCACAAGTCTAGATTTTGTTGATCCCCGCTCGCGTTCTTAGCACCTCATCCCTCTGTACACGATTGATGGTTCTTATTCCTCTGTGTTTCCGTGTAGCACCGAAAGTGTTAATTCAAGCCGCTAGATCGGCGGTAACGTCTAGCAACCTACTCCAAAGCTCATGGAAATCCCGACTCCATTTCCTAAATATCATGTCAAGAAGTGAGACAAAAAAGGCGTGTGCAAGTGTGGGCTAAATTTGCAAGAGCCTACGATAGAATATCTCTTGAAGTGACGTCCACTTTTAGTCACTAATCCCAATCGTGTATTGTGCACTGAGCAGTGGTAGCTGAGAAGAAGTGGTCGGATTTTGTAACTATTAAGCGGACGGAAGCACAATTCAATTCCAAGGAGGATATCCAATCGTAACAACCCTATTAGGACAGATCTCGCTACCACAAAGAAAATCAAAAGTGCCGATCAAGTGCAACCCAACGATGTTCCAGATAAAAGAGGCCAGGTCTTAACTGCTAATAAGTCAAAAGATAAAATCCATCGAAGAAGAGAAGATCATAGCCGACAATGAACTCATGAATGGCACCTAATCACTGCGCAAGTTCGGTAAGGGGTACCCTACAGAAGGAGGCCAATTTTAAAGTTGAATCAAGAAATAAAGACACCCATTCTGAAGAAATAAAGCATGCTTATCTATGTACACAAGAAGAGCGAAACAAAAAGTACTCATCTAAACAACATCCGTTTCCGATGCACCTCCGACCGATGGGCGTTCCGTCGCTCCGCCGCCAGAGTAGAGAGCTCGGGATTGAAGGCTGAATTGAATGGCAGCTGCCGCTCATCCACTACCACCATCTCCTCCTTCTTTGCTGCTGCTGCCTTGGCTGCCGCCGAAAGACCCATCGATCTACACAACACTACTGCAGCTCGATCACGTTCAGCGCGCTCACGAACTAATCGTTCTGCGCGAAGTCGTTCTAGTTTTCTTTGCTTTTCCTGTTTCGCATCTCTGCTGTTTTGTGGACCCTCTTGGTCATTGTGTGAACGCTTTATCTGGATGAGATGAAAAGATTAGGTGATAAAATCCTCAAATTACGCGACAAATTGAATAATTGGAATGGGACATACACCAGGGGTTTTAATATCATCTGGAAAGAGAGAAGAACAAGATGACATGATTTGAGCAGCAGCAGCACGTTCTTTGATCTCGTTGGCCTGCTTAACTTCACGGATACGAGCGAACTCTTCTTCAACTTTCTTCATATGGAAGAGGGGGTCAGATTTTTGTTTCCGCTTCATGTCCACTTCATCTGACCTGAGATAGTATAAGACATAGATTCAAAACATACGCCAACAGAGTTCCGAGGGGTTCCGCTTCCTTAGCGCGTTTGGGAACCTCAGACCACCATGGCTTGACGTTTGCTAGGCTATCATCGGCCTCGACAAGGTATTTAAGAATCCCAAGTTTCTTCTCATGTGTTTCCTTTTCTTTTTTTAGTTCTTCCTCATATTCCGTGTTTGAGGCAAACAAATTACGCTAAGGGAGATTATAAATAAGGGGCAAGACACACATTTCCTTCAATGTCTGCGAAGAGGTGCAGGGTGTCCTGCGAACTGAGGACCGACTTGTCTGCAGATTTATCATGCACCCTTCGTCTGAGATAATCTGCCCTAGCTTCTTGTGTCTAAGCCGATTACACAGGCTGAAAGACATATTACAGCTAATAAACTTCGGATAGATAAGTCATTTTGCTTCTTCCGAAAAAGTGCCTCATCCGCCTCAACACGAGCAGCATTATCCCTATTCTTCACATGCCACCTACACAAATAAGTAATATGACAAAAAGAAACCTTTTTTTGGGTAATATATTCATACTCAAGAGAAAGCAGAAATTTTACAGAGCCTGCAATTCAACCTGACCGCCCCCAAGAAAACCAACTTAAAACAGAAAAACAAAAGTTTTAAATTTATGAAAACAAGGACAGTATCAGAAAATCTTATTTTCCAGCATGAAAGCCTAAAGCGCTTGTACTGCTGTAACTGTTAGCAGATTTTAAAGGCTATCAGCAGTTCATGCAAGGCAAAATAAAGTTATTGCATGATTGCGCTAATTTCAATCTCATTAATTTAAAAGTCACAGTTGATTTGGCGTGGGGAGGTTTGACCACATTAATCAAAGCGGTCAATCTGAGTTCGTTGTTATACGTGGATATGGCTTCAAGGGCTAGGACAAGGCTCACTCCCTTTATGGCGCGAATCAGGGACTTTTTTTTGATGGTACAAGTGCCCCATTTTTTCACTTCCTAGCGTAAATACAATAATGCTCAACGTTATGAGGACCTTTCATCTAAGCGTACACAACCTCCTCCAAATCTGCCTCCGGGTGTCACACACAAAATGTCTGGAAATTACTACTATACTCGGGACGTTCGTCGCGAATGCAGTCCACCTACGGAAATTTTTAGTGCTGGACCGAGACAAATTGCGGGAGGGGAGAGGTTGGTTTGCGTGTACCTTTCCTACTATTCTCTCGTTATTTAAACAAGTTCCGCCGCCTTTCTTTTTCAATTCACTATCGCAACTTTATTCATCTCTTTCTAGCCAAGCTCCTACCCGTCCACTCATCACCGACTTCACTCCTGGTTTCAAGCACAACTGGGATGCAGAGATCAAACGCTAGTTTGATGCTGCGTTGATCCTTGCGTGCAACTCGTTCCCTCTTTTTGTTCTTATGGAATAGCTGTGCAAAAAATCACAGCATCCTCCCAGTGTAGTCCTCACCATGTAGTTTTTCACATCACCTAGAACAAAGCTTTTCCTGGCGTAACCACGTTGGTTTACCAGTTTGCTCGTTTGGGTGTCTTCCACCAATTTCAGGTTATTTACCAAATTGATACAATCCTCGACTGGTTTTAGATACCAGCCTAGTACGTGCAGACTCCGGTGTTGCAATGGACAATTTGCCATAGAATTCGATTACTTTTTCTGGTTAGAGTGCTGCAAACAACATCCTCGTTTACTTTCCAAGTTGTTACTACTAGACCAACGGATTGCGCCGACAAGCACTGAGTGCGGCCAGCTTATAACCAGGGCTCATCCCGCAGAACACAGCACTTACGTATGGCCGTAGCCGCCACAGCAATGACGACCGCATTTGATCTCGAGAGGCAACCCCTACGCACCCCTTGCAGATGCATAGAATGAGCAAGTCTCCAAACTTTGTCCCTGTTAATTTCACCGGAGAGCATCAACCGTACAAAAGACCTGTTAGGGATATCAGCAACACTGTATGTGTTGAAGTTCTGTCAATTTTTCCCTCA